CTTGTTTATTTTTCACTTACATATACTGGTCATGTGTTAAGATCAAAAAATGGTTCACCAGCTGTAGCTATCAAATAATGGACGGACAAGACGGATTTTTACTGCCACCTCTTGTATGAAGTATGTATTGTTTTAACTTTTCAAATCTGATTTCATAAATTTACATCCTTTGAAATGATAACAGAAAAATGTGAAATAAAAGAGTACGCTTATTTTTGTTTGTTGTTTTATCACTCATGTTTATGTACCATGGACTTAATGTAAACACTTGTTTTGTTTTGGCTAAAGGCTGACTTTTTTTTAAATCTTACCTATGGTTAGTTTCGTGTACATATTCCGTAAAGCAGAAGAGCTCTGAAAACAGTCTGCTGTTAGTATTGATCGGCAATAGTGAACAATCCCCGAGAAAGAGAAAAAACATAAAAAACAAAACAGAGAGCAAAACAAATACAACAAGAACACTTTTAATTTGGTAGAAATGTATTCCGTAAAATTGCAAACTTCAAAAGCAATATTTTCATTATCGTCTAGAATCAAATACTGACTAGTATTGCGTCAAATGTATTTAACTAATGAGAAACAATTTGAAAACTGTCCGTATATCGTTTTTGTAGTTTTTTACGATTACGATAACTAATAATATTCCAATTTTATTTAGAAAAAACGAAAATGAAATACAAAAAAAACGATTTGAACAAGAGTATCTTTCATTTTAATTCAAAGTCACCTAATCGTTGTCAAAGACTTGTTATTTACAAAGGTGTTTCACTTGGTGATTAGGAAAACACTTTTATGAGAACAATATATCATAAAGAAAGCAAGTGTTCACCGATAATCTGCTACAAATTTAATTTGTTCTGCGATGTGAACAAACCTAATTCAGTTTGTAACTTTGTAAAGAAAGCATTTTTCATATAAATTACACCCAAGAATGATGTTGGTTTTACAGTTGTAATGTATGGCTTTAGGTTTGTGCAGTCCATCTTCTTTTTTCAAGAGAACTCTTGATTTCTTCCAATCTGTTCTCACTTTATTGCATTCCCTGCAAGCTACAAAAATATTTCCATCGTTAGTTATATCAGTTGCTAGGGGACTATGTATTGCTATGCAATACTCTCACAATGCTTGTTTAACTAATTGTATGTTTGTTTTTATGGTTATTCCTTAATTGTATGTCGGTTAAAAGATCAGTAGAGTTTATGTTGAGTTGTTGTTGAGTTGTAAACCATGCCGACTCTAATAAAACTTATCTATTATTATATTCATTATAATGTCTTTTGGTCTCTGATGGATATACTATTAATTATCAAATATCCTTTTTCATACTTAATCCTTCAAATTTGTTCGTCTAATATTCATCTAATTTATAACTCAACATTCAAAATCAAAAGGTTTTGCATAAAATATTACGAACTCAAAGGTGATTTCATCTTAAACGGGAAGGAGGTACAGCACCAAATTTAAAAAAAAAATCTTACCCTATGCAGATAATAAATTTCCAGATACACAAATCACAAGCAATGGTAACGCATAAAGTTTTAGGTAATAAATTAGATGCAGCCTTAGCATCCTGAATATTCTTTCTTTGACAGTTCGTGCGGCACTCTAAACTTTTCTTTTCATTCTTGTTTTTGCACTCAAGATTACGTGTCCTCCGCAGCTAAAGTCGGAAATCTTTATAAGAAATAAGTACTTTATAATAAGGGACAAACATTGGAGGGAAAGGAAAAAGTGGGAGAGGGATGAAGAAAGTTGTTAAGATGGGAAAAGTTTTGAAATCTTAAATAAGTTGAAAGTAAATAATTTGATGCAGATGATTTTGAACAAATTTTGATTACGTCAGATAATAATTTTACCCTGAAAACATTTTCCAAGCATCCCCACCCCACATAAAAAAAGGGTTACAGTTTATTCTTGTATTGTTTCTATTTAATCATCTTGCAATCCCTTCATTCATTCATTTTATTTTATCAGCCTTAACAATGGATATATTTGAAAGCCACAAATATTCTAATTGTTATGCGGAGTCTTCCATACATGCACTTATTGAGAGTGCTTTATACAAAAACGTGTGTGTATGTGCGTGTTTTCATGGAGAGAGAAGATCTTGAAGGTAAGGAAAATGTCTTCTGAAAAGTCTTTGAATTTTTGTTAATGATAACATGACAAAACATTTTAAAATGGTGTAATTTCAGGAAGATAATTATCATTGTTTACAAAATTGTATGGATAAAGCAAAAGTGACAAATTGTATATATTGTTTAATTTTTTTAGCTCTGTACGACCGGTTATACTATGATGATAATTTGTGTTAAAGTTTTTTGTAACAAATTGGGAGAAAGACTTTTTTTGTGTAGTTGACGCAAAATCCTCCGAAACTGATGCGGACTGGAATTCAAAACCAAACGCTCGACTATATCAACCAACAGAACGACTTGAAATAGGCATGTTTAAGATTAAAATAGGTGTCATAAATAAGTTTAAACACAAGTCTGTACAAAAGACAGTTGATTTAGCAACGTTTGAATCATAATAATATTAACATCTCGTGAAAAATCACAAGCATGGTATCAGGACCCATAAGCACAATGTCAGGACCCACCAGCACAGATTCAGGACATGAATAGTCTATAAAAATGTGCAATTTTAAGAGAGCGCTACAGTTTTTTACAAAATTATTATGCCAAGCAGTTCTGAGTATAGTAAACGGATTCAAGAAGCACTTTTGTTTGTTTTTTTTCTGTTCCTGATGTTTTGAAAATGAGCACTTTTGTGTTTATCATACTACAGCAATGTAGACGGGTAATGTTTTGGTTGCGTTTGAACCAATAAGAAACAAATTTGAAACATCTTACCTATTTATTTTCATCTGTTATTCAATAAATCGTCGTGTTTGTTTACATTTTTGAACGATCACCAGCACCGATCAGGACCAAATCACCAGCACAGAACATTTTCTCGCAGGACAACCTTATCCACCGTGTAATTGGAATAACAAAAATATGAGAACAATTACTTTATATTTGAATTATAGACCTGAGAAATTACGTTAAATATCTTTTTAAAACTTTTTTTGATTGCACATGTATTTATTATGATTGAGTTTAATAGTAGTGCATCAAAGTCTTTGAAGTCTGACTGATTTGTAAATATTGTTTCAAAATATGTTGTTATAGTATGTATTATCAGGTTGCCCTATAAAATAAATATGTAGATATTATCTGAAAACAATTCTCTTGTCAAAAAAAACTTTACGTTATCCAATGGCCATGCAAATGAGACCATGGACATATGAACCGTGTCAAACAGAGTAATCAAAGTTTCAATATATCCTTTCTATGCTCCAAATATAGTTGACCGATTTCTTACAGTATCAAAGAAACTAAAATTATTTGGGAAACATTCACCTTTGAATCAAAGAATTGTGATCAAGGTCTGATGAGTCCTATACTTGAAAAGTATACACGAGAAGCATTTTTTACACCAATACAGTTTTAATTTTATTACATGAGAAACCAAGCTAACCACAAAAAATAAACGTTGCCAACAGAACCATTAAAATGAGACCAAGGTCAGGGTACCCCTACAAGATAGACATGTAAAATTTACATCATTTAATACACAAGATAAGGCTGACCTGTTTATTAAAATATCCGAACAACGGAATTGGATCAATAGTTTACTTTAAACAATAAACCTTTATTACTATTAAGGTCAGTTGAATACTGCCAAAAAACCTCTTAGTTAGTTTGATTTATTTTCAAACATTATTCGAGACAGACATTAAACATTTGTCATTAATTCGGTGGTTTTTTGGGGGGCCTTTTCTACCTTATTACGCGTTATTTGTTTTGTTCATTGTTGAAGGCCGTACGGTGACTGATAGTTTTTATCATCTATGTCATCTGGTCTCTGGAAGAGAGTTGTTTCATTGGCAACCAAACCACATCTTCTTATATCTATATTGATATGCTGTTTTAGGATAAGGGCTGATTTGTACGTTCTAACCTCTGTTTTTGGTACTCAGTTAGGGATAATTGGTATCATGAAATCATTAAGATATTTTCGCGGGTTGTACAACCATTAAAACTTCAAAATAGACGAAAAAGGGAAATGTTACTTTATACTTCTTATTTGTGCGCTTTCGCGTATTACAGTATTTCCATTTCGTTTCTTTAGATTGGTCTATAGTTTATGATAGACATCAATGAAACCAAACGAAAGCCCAATGTAGCGTCCCTGCAGGAAATATATTGTTATATTTTTAAGAGTAATGAAGACAATTAATTAACAAATAACTGATATAATTACGATTAAACTGTTTACTTTGACGGCTTATTTTATCTGTGTACAAATATTTCATGTCGCATTAAAAACAGAGATTTCAAATTAAACGATAAATACAAATCCGATTATAAGTTGATCTATTGATAACCAAGCTATAATTGTGTGAACACTTAAGATACGAGACAGGTGGGTAAAGAGGGGGACTCAAGCTATGAATAAATCACACTCCGTCAATATTTCATAATCGTGATGAGGAAACAATCGGTAAATTAACAGATCAGACGAAAATTATTGTATCGTAGATCAAAGGTTTATAAACACCTGTCTGTAGATGCTCAGCCTCTATTAGTTTATACAAGAGGCAGAAAAAAAACAAAGGGACATTCAAAACTCAAAAGGCGAGGAAAACTAACACCGCCATGACAAAAAAAGACGAAAAACGACGAAATGACGAACAAGTCAATGAAACACTACATAGAAAACTTAAGACTGAGCAACACGAACCTCACTCAAACCGATGGTGAACTCAGGTCCTTAGGAAGAAATGGTAGTTCCTGTGTGCATCCTGAGTTTTGTTTATGACAACTTAAAATCAAACAGATAAGATGCGAACAATCAATGGACACCAAGAGTTCTTTATACGCAATGATATCCAAGATTCTACATCAAGTAATAAAGAAGTAAACAAACATCTTATTTTAGATGCACAAATCCACAAGAAAAGAAAATTCACACATACACATACGTTTAAACAAGGCGAAGTACCAACGGTAAAGTTATGGTTATTTATAATAAAAAATGGTAAAGAAATAATGCGCGAATGCCAAACCTAGTATAGTGTTATGCAGCTATACCAATTAATTATGCCTTTTTCCATTATAAGTGGACTGCTGAAGAAAGTGTGTGGGATATTTTTTGGACGGAAAGCGTTTAAGAATGGCACCAAACTGATTGATATATAAAAAATGGCAGAAATATAGTTGGCATTCGTTCTCAATATATTTTTTTAATGCAGTCAGTCAGTTTTGTAAATAAGCACATGGATTGAAAAACTCTGAACAGTACTTCCTCTTCATAGACCAGGTTTTCTTTAGTACCTCCGATATGCACGATATGAACATTCATTGTTGTACCAAGTTTTTCTACAAATATTTGTTCAGACTGAATCAATAGCTCTTTGTAATGTGTTTGTATTGATTGGTTTTTCTTTCAGCTTCTTTATTACATGGTGTTTTCTGATAATCTTGAATTTTTCTAATGCAGACTAAGTATTGTTCCTTTTTTCAACAAGCTAATTAATAAATATGTCATGCTGAGCTAAGAAAACCAAGCAAGAAAACATTATCTAATTTGTAATATATTTCATAGATTTTTAACAAATTCCTACCCATTCTATTTCAACGCACACGTTTAAAGAACAGAGTTGTTCCAAAAGAAGGAAAATGCTGCAATCTGTTCAATAAAGATGTGAATCCATCTTATGATCACGCTTTTATATAAAAGAATTTGATGTAGTATGATTGTCAATGATACAACTATCCAACAGAGCCTACATACAGCGGAATAAACAGTTCAAGCAGCTATAGGTCATTGAACGACCTTCAACAATGATTATATTGCTTTGTTGATCAAATAACCCCCGACTTATTCATTATCTGGTATATAGGTTAAGATTTAACAAAACATGTTTACTCTCGCAGCATTTTTGCGCCTATTCACAGTCAAGAACTTTCTTAGTCGTGTGTGTGTGTGTTTTTTTTATATATATGTTGGTTCAATTGTGAGGTCAGAGTTTGGTGTGACGATCATTTAGGTGAACTAGTATACATTATTGTTTAGGAGCCAGATGGAATCTGTCTCCGGGTGCGGGATATTCTCGCTGCGATTAAGACCCATTGTTGGACTTGGGCTGTTTTCTGCTTTTTGGTCGTGTTGTTGTATCTTTGACACCTCATTCTCTTATTCAATCATTGGCCTTCAAATATATAGTTTTGCTAAAGCACTGTATTCATATACAGGGACATTCTAAATCGATAAAGATTATCAGATCTGACAAAAACATAAAATTTCAATTCCCCAAAATACAAAAAAAAAAAATTTAAATAACGTATACTGATGGGCCAAATCAACGAACATGTAAGTATCTGCTCAAATAATGAGATAAAAGGAAGCAATCTAAAAAAAAAAAAATACCAACCCATTGTCAAAAGTTGTGAAACCAGTCATAACTTTTCCTTTATAGACTCTGTAAATCCCACCATATACAAAACTATTATTCAAATGTACTTTACAGTCTTTCTGTGAGTACTTGATATCTAAAAAAAAACGAATGTTACACCAACTTTTATTGCATCGGCTATCTAAGATATGTAAACAAAAATGGTTTATAGTATTAAATTTTGTACTTTTAGTCAATTATAACATGCTGACGAACTCTATAAATAAATAATCCACAAAACATTTAAGACTTTTTTAAATTATATACTAGATCTATTAAAAGTTCACAAAACTAAAGAAAAATGTATTTTTTTATCACCACTTCTTTTTCCTTCTGAACAATACTCTAAGGTTAAAACAACCTGTGTTTTCTACTTTTTAAAAGTAGCTAATCAGGGTACAAAAGACAGTAATTGAAAATAAACAATTTGTATATTTTACCTGGGTCCTCACAACAGCGAACGTTCAATCCTAACCCCTCGTTGAATTCCCATCCACTTGCATAACCATACCCAGGACACCTGAAGAATCCTTTCAGGTTATATTCTTTAACAATAACAAAAGGATTATTGTCATTAAAATACAACGAAACATACAGAAAGTTTTATTTGAATACAGTATTATATGTTCAAACTACATGAACTATGAACCAGACACTGTAAACTAATCATGTGTTTCCTTCTATGTTGTTGGGTGTCATTCACGTTCCTTTTCTCAATAAGTTAACTAAAAAAAAATAGCACGACCCGATGCTTCGACAGGTTAAGCGTCCCTTACTATTCATGCATCTCTTGCAATGCGAATTAACCGACGGTAAAAATATCCAAGTCGAGAATAGGACACAGATTAGACGATTATTATAGTATGATAGACCGCAAAAACATGTCGCTAACTAATTGAAAGACAAACACGTCGTATCATTCACCCGATCGTGATGGTGATATTTTATAAAATCATAAAATGTATAGAATGTGGATTTCAGTCTTTCTTCCTCATAACTCTGCTGGAGTAGTTCTCGTGTAATGACGCCCGTGTAGTGTTAACAGGTCATAACTAAATATTTGAGCTAACATTCATATGTCAAATAACTGTTCAGGAAAATAATGACTTTTCAAACAATAGGAAACAAAAGTCAATGCAAATGTATGTTTGAAGGTGAAGCAGCTTTGCGTAATCAGAACCTTATAAATCATTGATGAATTACAAGAGGTAAACAAATGTTGTTTATCTTTAACTAGTATGTGTGTATTGTACTTGCTTTTTTTATATCAAACATTTTGAATTTGCATAAATTACATATTTTTCAATTATTATTAAAGATAAAAATTGGCAGATTACTTACGAATATTCTGGCATTTTACATTTCTACCTGGTCCAGGTTTACAGGTAAATGGGTATGGATCAGGGAAAAGTTTATCATGAGCATACCCATCTGTACAAAACTGCAAAAACCTTACAGGCTTCTTTGAAAACATTCTACCATTTGTCACATTTGGTAGAAACAAAGCCGAAACAAGTAAAATAAATCCTATGAAAAGTAAAAACAAGCTGTTATACAAATTTTAAACACGGATATTGAACCTGGAAGTGCAAAATGGTTAATTTTTCGAGGCAAAAAAATTTCGCTCTTCGAAAGTCAAAACCTTGTCACGAGATTTTAATGTAGCGCTATTCTTGTTGTTGATCCCTTATCTGTCTGAAAGATCAAATTCACCTTAGAGTATTAATCTGGTAGAGATAAGCAGAGTAAACTTTACCTGTCTGATTGGGTACTTTAGCTCCGAAATCGTCCGTTTTACTGTGTCCGATTTGATTAAAATAGAAACGTAACGTGATCATGGTGATAACTTCATAAATCTATGCAGCGTACTGCATCGTCTGCATGAAAACATTAACATTTGGACGACGTCACATTACGGTATGCACCAGGGCAAGGAAATCAAACTAAAACAGCGTGGTCGACATTTTTTAGATGGCAAACTTATTTAATCATAACCTTTGCATAATTCGTCTGTGTAAAAATCTAGGCATGTGCAGAAAAGTGTCACGTGACACAACTTTTTCAATCTCCATATTGAAACAACAACTATCCCGTAACTCTCCTATTGTACACAAGGGTGAATAAGCACATGTCGTTTGTCTTCGTCGTTTTTTTTTTCATTCTGTGTACCAATGTGTAAACAGTAGTTTTCACGAATATAGTTTTCTTGTCTTATCCTGTCTTGTGTCTCTCCTATTGTAGATGAGGGTGAATAAGCACTTGCCGTTTGTTTTCGTCGTTTTTTTTATTATGTGTACCAATGTGTAAACAGTGGTTTTCACGAATATAGATTTTCTTGTCTTATCCTGTCTCGTGTCTGTCCTTAGTAAGGAGCTTCGTTAGTTTCTCGTCAAGATTTTATGTATTTTGCATTCAGTGTTCAGTGAAGATCTTTATTGGTTGTTTGTACTTTTATGTTGTTAAGCATATCCATAAGGATGTGTAATTGAACTCATTAATGAAACCAGGATAAAAGTTATGTATGCTAGTTAGAAGATTATCTCTTTTTAACTCTTTAAAAAAAAAATAGCAAATACAAGTATGAAAAAAGTTACGTGTAGTTTAGAAGAGGACAGGCAAATCCCTTTATATCATAGATAAGTAAATAGCAAAAACGTGTTATAACTTCAAAGATGAGTAAACAAATATTAGTAGATACGATAGTGTGAAGGCTATATCATAAATAATCATCTATCACCCACCAAATCATGTTTCAGGGATAAAAACTGAAGACAGTTATTATAAATAAATATATATAACATTATATAATATAAAATAGAAAACTAGATGTCATGAAAAGTAGTGCTACTTTGCAGATTGATTAATGATGTTATTATTTCAAAGTCCTTGACATATTCTAATTTAAGAAACGCTCCAGTTCGTACAAGGAAAATAGCCTTAAGAAAAATTGAACACACTGTTAACATTGTACAAAATAAAAATTTGTTTTGTTAAATATTTTGTACAAAGGTTTTGGGTTTCTTGAAGCATTGATTATAGACAAATATTTGAGCCAACTTTAATATTTCTTCATCAGAAGGTATTTATCAAAAATAAAGATAAATGTTTGTCTTGTTTTAGCTACATCATCACCGATCAGCAAAGTATGAATAGTAATCCGATTTTAAACTCTTAATACAACATTTGATAAAAACATGTACAGCATGATAATTTGTGTTCTTGAGGTTGGGTTGAATTGGTGATTACAAAAACTCTTTCAAAAGACATCAAATAGTATAAAAAAATAATGAGAATTTTTAATTTATTTAGATTTTTTTGAAATTTATAATACTATCAAATTTATTTGTGAGACGCGTATACTTTGTTGTATATATTGTATATTTTTCTCATTGTTGAAGGTTGTACGTTTTCCTATAATTGCTTACATCCTCTTCATTTGAACTTTGGTAGATATTTGTCTCATTGCCAATCATACCACATCTCCTTATTTTTATATTTCGTTACGTCCATATTTGCTGAATTGGCTGTTACAGTATATTATGCATACATGGACATATTTTCAAAAGCGTTTTGATTGTCTTTAAATGTTCTAAACAAAGGATTAAAAGCTACCACCAAATTTTTATTTTTTGGTCCCAACTATGAAAGTACCAAAAGTTTTTATTTAATTCTGCAACAGCGAATTATGATAAAAAAGTAAAAAGATATGGTTTGATTGACAATGAGGTATATCTCCAAATGAAGTAGAATGTTAGGAACTATAGATCACGTTTAAGTCAACATTACACTTTTACACTGACAGCAGTAATCGTAGGCGAGACACAGGGTTCCGCGGGACCCCTTACACATTTTATATAATACTTTTCGAAATTTGCTCTTCTACCATAATAATCGAATACAACAAAAACTGAAGTTACAACCATGGAATGGATACAATTAAATGGCCAAATCAATATTTAAGTTGAAGAAAATGAAAATGAAATCTTACACAGTCTAAATAGGACAGTTTAAAATTCCACAATATAACATTTTTGTAAATAAAAATAAAACAAAACTGAACAAGCCTGTTTAATGAATAAAAATATGGTTTAATTTAAGATAACCGAACGAGACTTACCTTTGCGAATACAGTTATTGAATGACATTACAAAAAGTACAAACTGTGTCAAATTGCAATTGAATTTTCGTTAGATTACAAATGCGAACACAGTATTATTTTTAAATCTTTAAATACAGACATTTAAATTGATTAATTACATGGACAACTTTTGCATATTTCTAAATGTTAGGGTTCAAACGACTTGATTGATAAATCAATTTTGACATAAATAAATGTCAAGGAAATTTATACTTTACCAGCTGAACTGAAAAAAAAAATAAAACGTCTTAATCGTTTGATGTAAAAGAACATTTTCTCAAGGTCTCGGTGACTTTCCTTCACACTTGTAATCACTTGCAATAAACATTGAAATGATACTAAATAAAGATAAATTTTGCTAAATTTGTATTAAAAAGACTTAATATTTAAGTGATAAGCAAGGACTATGGTAAATTTCCCGTTACCTTCTTTGATGTATTTAACTTACAAATTGTTTACAAAAGGAACATCTGAAAATATTTCTAAGAGTGATTTTCAATAATTTAGATCATTAAGAAAGACATATATCTGTCCATGCTGACTCCTTAAAATGTAAACTACAGTTATTAAACTTTCTGAGAGCAAAATTGAAAAGGAATGAATACTCGGTGGATGTACAAAAAGCAACGATTCACAGAAGGAACACTAAATTTGATACTGCAGTGTTCGTTGTAGAAAATGTGGACCTTGTAAACTCAAAAGATATCAAAGCTCGTTAAATGTAAAATTTGGGGAATGATTGTCAATGACTCAACTGACCATCAAAGTCCAAATAACGTGGCTGTAAGCAACTTTATGTCAACAAAGAGAATCATATTTGCACAACACACGTTAAACATCATTACTTTAATATTTTGCAAAGTAGCAAAGAAATTCAAATGTTCAATAGCGATCAATGTAAAAGCTACCAACTAGACATATAACACATATTTTTTTAAATCGTTTGTATCTTTCACATATTAATGTGAAAATCAACATAATTGCTAAACAGAATGTTGTCAATCAGTTATTTACCCTGCGTTCAACAACGCCGCCCAATGCTTTAACAATTTTCATGAACAAAATACGCACTTTACATGATATCTGTTAATTTTGTGCAATATACCAATCAACAACAGGCAATATAAAAGATCCAATTTATTGAAGTAATGATGAGCATTATAGTCACCCGTATGCTAAATCTTTAAAAAATGATAATGAAATGCGAACAAAAGGCTAAACCAACAAAACAAAAGTAATGCAAACAGCAACCAATGGCATTTACTGAATTGCTTGTTCCTGTTTCGGAACATGTACACAAATGTTGTGGCTGGATTGAACGTGTTTAAGCCGTGTTTCATATCGACTGTGAAACTATCTTCTTTAGGGGCGGTGTTAATCAAATGAATTCATAGTGGTAAATTGGAAGTTATTCCTTTGACAAATTTCAAGAGGATGTTATAAGCTTGATGACCGTTATGAAATATCTGTGACACAGTAGACAACGGATGTGTTTCAAATGTCGTAGCCATTCTCCCGTGTGAATATGTACTTACTGTGAGCAACATTACGGGTGCCACATGTGGAGCGGGATATGATTACCCTCATGGAACACCTGATATCATACCTGGATTTTTTTTTCACGTTTTACTCTGTTGTTTTTGTTATCATTGTCATGTGTTGTAGAAATCGATTACAATCGTTCGTGCTTAACTGCAATTTAGCAATTATTTCTCAAGATTGCCAACATTATCATAATAACTTATTGAAAATTCAAAAAAAATCATGATGAAATCAAATTATTTATGGAACATACAATTAAGACTCTGAACATCGATGGTCAATGCTGAAATACGTTGTTAAACATGCTGAAGTGTAATAGTGTCTACTAACTGAAATGCGATGGTCTGAAGTCAGAACAACACTTGATTTGGTGGGTAGCGGATTTCATTTTTGATCAATACAAATCAAAAACTTAACACATAGAATCTGCAGATTCTCCGCTAAGCACTTCGGTTGAGAACAGGACTTTATGACAACAGATATGATTACAGTTTTTTTTGTTTTTTTTTTTCTATCACAACATTCAAAGAGTACCTGTTTATGGAGGAACGTTTTCCAAGTTTATAAGATTTTTCAGAAGTTGCGATGCTCATCATGATTTCCGTGATAGGAGATTGATGCTCACACTGATGTCGAATTCATCCTTTGAAAAGGTTTACAAACTTCACATTGAAATATTATCCTGTAATAGTTTATACGTTTTAATTTCATTAACTCTCTTTATATCATTTATAGTAAGTATTACAAAGGTCAGATTGCCCAAATAAAAGAATAGGTTTGCTTACATTTCTAGTAATTAAGTTATTTTTAATCTTATCTTTAACAATAAGACAACATGAGTTTTTAAAATTTGTTTTAACCATGTCTAAAATTGTCTTATGTTTAAATAAAGCAAACTCGTCCTACTTACCACCAGTGTAGTGATTCTGTTCAGTAGTACCTCGGAAATGTGAGAAGAAAATATCTGATAAACAAAACGACAGAAAATATATTTGCAATATTGTCCTTGTCTCTAAATAACGGGGGTCATTCCATATATCGAGAAAAAAAGATCGTGAAATAATACCTAACGGTTGTCAAGTATTACGATTGGATCGTGAAAGCTCTAGTATAGGATCGTGAAGAAAATATTATCGAGAAGACATATGCATGGTCCATTACTAATATAATTTAATGACTCATACTGACAAATTGACAAAAAAATAAGCTGTCTGTCAAAATGGTTCAACATTATGAGAAGATGAGAAAATCAAGGTTTACAAGTAAACGGTTTCTACAAAACTTCAAAAAGCAGATTGCTCCTTAACATTTCAATAACATTAGATATGTAAACAACAAGATTGTTTTCATAATTCGAATGACTAAACAAATTCTCTTTGAAACATGTCATTCCATTTTAATGATTCAAATGGTTTTTTTAATTCTTTTTGCCCGTCCTTCATTCCTAAGTTTTGATTTCTTATACAAATCAAGATGTAGAATAGAACCTATTCGGCTTAATAACAGTTCAAGCTGGGCATCATGCACAATCATTTGCGAGGTACGTTGATTGATAATTTCCCCACTAAGTTGGGTACAATGACGTATAGCTATTGTGGAAAGACTGATCAAACAATCAAGTAAAAAAAAAAACGTTATCTGGGTACCTGTTTAGTTCATGTCAGCGCAGTCACGAAATAAACAACAAAGTAGCCAATATTGTGATACGATGTACGCACGAACGACACTCCATATAACCGAAGGTAACAACCCTTACAGAAAAAAAAAACATATTTTCAGGGCGGATGCATTAAGCATTATAGATACATATATACTTTTACTTTTGAAAAATTAACGCTCCTGAAGGTCCTTTTATCTTAGAAATCTACTTATTTAGACACGTTTTTGGTTATATTAATAACTTTTAAGGAAAAGTGTTGCATTAAAAAAAAGATGAAAAAATGGAAGCATTAATGTTAAAATAATTACTCGCTTTAACATGTTTAACTAGTTGCAAGTTTATCAATTGGTAAAAGAAATATTGTGTGTTGACTATCAAGTCTAGTCGTTCGGGACGTTTGCGCTTTCTGATAGGACATTTGCGTTTTTTTATTGGACATTAGCACTTAATTTAATAGGACATTTGCGCTTTCTAAAAAAGTAAATTTGCGTTTTTTCAATAGGACATAAAAAAACATTTAATATGAAAAAAAACACAAACCATTCATATATTTATATACAGCTAAAAGCATAAACCTTTCCCCATCATGATGGTGTCAGATGAAAGCGACAACACTCCAGGAGGGTGGATGGGAGTAAATTCCTTTTAACAACCATGACACTTTCTAAAAGTCGACAGGTATACAGTTGGTGGTTTAGAAATAAAATTTGGTCTTCACCAATTGAAACAACCTTAAATAAACTATGATGGAACAGTTTCACGGATTATTCATGAGACAATATAACCACAAGAGAAATATATTTTCCAATTTTAATCCACTTATAAGAAAGCTAATTGAAGAATTTCGGTCAAAATTGCAATGTTCCATCCATAAAAATTTCTTTTCTCCTATCGTTTACCCAGAAACCTTTCCTCGATCTTGATATCTATATCATTAACGGAAAGCTTAATACTAAAATATATGATAAAAGAGATGATTTTTCATTTCCTATCGTTAATTATCCATTTTTAGATGGTGACGTTCCCTTGTCACCATCTTACGGTGTTTATATATCTCAACTTGTACGATTCGCTCGTGTATGTAACAATGTTTAAATTTTAACGAGAGAAATTTATGTATTACTGAAAAATTATTACACCAGGGTTTTCGATATCACAAACTAGTCAAAACATTTACTAAATTTTATCATCGGTATAAGGACATCATTCGTAAATATAGCTCAACATGCAGACTTCTTATACGTTCAGGTATTTCACATCCAATTTTTTATGGAAATATTCTTTATAAAGCACAAAAACGTCAGTATTCACCTCTGAAGCTAACAAAACCTTTAAATAGACTTATAAAGAAGGGATATAGTTACGATACTGTTGTCAGGTCATTAAAGATTGCATATTTTGGGGTTAATATTGATTCACTTATAGGGTCTTTGCATCGGCACTAGACACATTTATTTAAAAACCAGTTGTTGGCATGACACGGGTTATGTTCTTCTCATATATGTTATGATGGTATGCTACTAAACTCCTAACGGGAAGGATTGTGCCTGATATTCATATGATGAAGACATAATCTTTCAATCAGTTTAATTGAAGTTTGGAGCTGGCATGTCAGTTAACTGCTAGTAGTCTGTTGTTATTTATGTATTATTGTCATTTTGTTTATTTTCTTTGGTTACATCTTCTGACATCAGACTCGGACTTCTCTTGAACTGAATTTTAATGTGCGTATTGTTATGCGTTTACTTTTCGACATTGGCTAGAGGTATAGGGGGAGGGTTGAGATCTCATAAGCATGTTTAACCCCGCCGCTTTTTTGCGCCTGTCCCAAGTCAGGAGCCTCTAGCCTTTGTCAGTCTTGTATTATTTTTAATTTTA